CCTGACCACAAAAAAAAAATATTGAGTTGTTAATATATTCTTATTCTCCACATTGTAATCTTTAATATGATGGGTCGTTTACTGGAATCGACTCACTATTACTAAAGTTATGAATAAAAGTATTACAGCTTCTCTGTACTAAAGTACACAATACTGCCACATTCTTTGCTAATTACTCATTTAGTGACAGTTTGCTGGTTTTAGGATGACAAGCCTCAAATGTTAATTAAATAACTGCTGCTACTCACAATTCAAACAATAGATAAAATTCCTCAAAATAGTATAAATCGGATGAAAGGATACGGACTCTGATAGCTGTGCTGTCCATTCTTAGTAGTCTTTTCACTTCTTTCTCAATATCTGGTGATTCTATGTACTGCAAGAAGAAAGTAAAAGAATAAATATTGAAATGTATTTAAAACTTCCATCTTTAATGATAATTCATTCTTGTATCCAGCACCATGGCAAAATATTATAGTAGTAATGTTTTGCCCTCATTTTGCCGTATCTGACGTATTATCATACCGAATACTCAGTACATACTAGCGCCATAACCACTAGACTATCGACCTTGCGCTATCGACCTTGGTACTGCAAATGCTATTATAATGTGTGATTTTGAATTAGGAAAATATCAAAGGAGTGATGTCTTGCCCTACCTGATGTATTATTGTATCGAATACTCAGTACGTTCCCAAATACTAGTGAAAAAAATTCTCAAGTGATTCGGGTGGGAATCGAACCCACGACCTCCAGGTAACTAGCCTGGTGCAAATGCCACTAGAATACCGAGTCACTGTTGTATGCGATCCCCAAGTGGCAGCGAGTATGAGAAAATGTTATCAGAGTTAGACATACCTATTTCTTGGCTGTTTTTCTGAACCTTCATTTTCTCACATTCTTTAGTGGAGGTGTTACTGAAAAAAGGGTAATTTGAAGAAATTAAAGATATTGTTCAAAAGTAAATGTGAAAACAGATGAATTTTTATCAACATATGAATTTATAAAACTGATTAATCTTTCTCCTGAAGATGAATAAAATAATCGACCTCAAACACCAAACAATATACATAATTTACAACGGTATATGTTTATTAATCATTTGTTTCGTTTTCAACTTACATCCATGGTTCCATAGAAACTTCTTGTTGACTTTGTCGGTGTTCTTGTGTGGAGAACGTTTTTCCTCTCGACCACTTCCACTGTCTTCCCCTTCATTTGAACAACCAAGCATCTACAATTCAAAGACGTGTGAAGATGTTGTATGCCCATAGCCATGATGTGCCTATATATGGTTGTGATGTAATGTATCATGACCATATTAAGGCATGTCACATTATATCTGCAGTTCTGAAGAATGTTTTCTTATCAACTGTTGTTTTACAGGATTCCAATATTGTTGGTATGTCCACCAACTGAAAAACACAAACAAAAACAATCAGTAATTTATTGTTTCAATTGCAATATAATAGTAAATGATATAAATGTGTAAAGAATGAATGATTACAATGATGATGATGATGATGATTGGTGATTGATGATGTGTTTCAAAGTCTTTGGTCCAATGTATGAAGGG